TACTTTGGATCTTAACTCTGATATTGGAGCTGTTGATTCCTTATCACAAATGAGTTGTTCTCTACACCCGCTTCAAAGGCATCTTGGTTGAAGAGATTTGCCACGTAGGACCTATGTGAGGATGAGCTTCAAAGAGAAACTATAGCGATGGTACAAGCCACTCATGAGCAGAAGCTCTCAAACGTCATGTCACGACCCACATCCATTCAACTGATGGGCCCACAATCATTCATAGGATTTTTGGCAAACCCTCAGTCATTAACGGGTTTAATAAGCCTTTACCGACTATCGTTTGAGTCGGGCTAGCATGTGAATTATTTGAATCCGTTTCACATGTAATATTGTGCAAAGAGAATGAACCCTCTTAGACTTAATACTATGATTTTGAATACATAGGCTTTATCATTTTTACGGAAAAAGACTAACCGATAATGCGTGTTAGGCGTAGACTTATCTCTAGTTAGGGATTAAGATAAAGTTCCCCAGACATAGACTCTGGTATCTTTTTCGGGGCAAAAGACTAACTGGCAACTTGGGTTAGGCGTAGACTTATCTCTAATTAGGGATCGAGATAAAGTCCCCCAGACATGAATTTTGATGTTTTTTATGGTAAAAGACTAACCGGTAACGCGTGTTAGGCGTAGACTTATCTCTAATTAGGGATCGAGATAAAGTCTCCCATACGTGTAAGGCATGGATTTTAGCATTATTAATAACAACCTTCCATGATGTTAAATACGTGGGCTTTGTCATTTTCACGGGAATGCGCTACCCAGCGACGCGTGTTAGGCGTAGGCTTATCTCTATTTAGGGATCAAGATAAAGTCTTCCATGCATAAAAGACATGAATTTTTGTGCTACGATTTTGAATACGTAGGCTTTGTCGCTGTTTCTTCCCGTGTTATGTTTTTACTTGAAACACTGAAAGAAAGATGGAAGCGCCAGGGGTGTAGTATTAACTTGGCATGAATTTTCACTTAGAGTGAAATTCAGAAGTTTTCCTCATTATCACTAGGATAATTCTAGAAAATCTTTAATCCGCTGGGGATTTTATAATAAAAACTTACTATTCTTATTAAAAAAGGATTTAACAAAAAGACTAACCGGTAACGCGTGTTAGGCGTAGACTTATCTCTAATTAGGGATCGAGATAAAGTCTCCCATACGTGTAAGGCATGGATTTTAGCATTATTAATAACAACCTTCCATGATGTTAAATACGTGGGCTTTGTCATTTTCACGGGAATGCGCTACCCAGCGACGCGTGTTAGGCGTAGGCTTATCTCTATTTAGGGATCAAGATAAAGTCTTCCATGCATAAAAGACATGAATTTTTGTGCTACGATTTTGAATACGTAGGCTTTGTCGCTGTTTCTTCCCGTGTTATGTTTTTACTTGAAACACTGAAAGAAAGATGGAAGCGCCAGGGGTGTAGTATTAACTTGGCATGAATTTTCACTTAGAGTGAAATTCAGAAGTTTTCCTCATTATCACTAGGATAATTCTAGAAAATCTTTAATCCGCTGGGGATTTTATAATAAAAACTTACTATTCTTATTAAAAAAGGATTTAACAAGTTCATTACGGGTTTGAGTATTAGAGGTGTGATGTTAACCTAACAGTATTTAATGGGCCTATCGCTCTATTAAAGAGAGTCGATAAGTTGATATTGTCACCAGAGGTATGATGTTAACTTGACGGGTTTGTAGATCTATCGCTCTATTGAAGAGAGTCGATAAGTTGATTGTCAGAGATGTTTTATTAACGTGACAAGATTTGTGGACCTATCGCTCTATTGAGAAGAGTCGATAAGTGGATTTGGTCGTCAGAGGTGTGATATTAACGTGACGGGTTTGTAGACATATCACTCTATTGAAGATAGTCAATAAGTTGATTATCAGAGGAGTAATATTAACATGCCAGGTCAGATCAGGTGAAGGTACACCTGTATCTCCGAGGACCACATCACGAAGAGCTCTCTTACCGCCTAGATCCTCCGCTAGAACATCTACACAGAATCAAAGAATTAAAGCAGAAAGATGAAAATCTGAGAACGCACAATAAGAAGAAGTGAAATTTACTTGCAGCAGCTGTGCCGAGTTCCGTAGCCTTAACCCTTAGGACCACTTCTTGCAATTTTTCTAAGAGGGTAAGAAGCATATAAACGATTAGCGGAGATACAAATTCCGAATTGTTCAATTCCCACCAAATCAAGGACCTATCACCGATGTTAAATATACCTGGATCTTCAACACTTTCAGTGGTATCGGGTCCGACGCCGGAGTCTACAACAACCTCAACATTTGTATCTGTTCTAACACCTGCGGGTTCTTTGGCCATGACTTCATCCATTGGTGGGGAGAAGTTAGACCTTCGAAACCATCAAAGCAGGGAGAAAGAGGATCATATTCTTGTTCACCTTCTTCGCGACCTCCTAAGACACAAGAATGACTAAGTCTAGAAATTAATAAATAGAACAGTCAGAAGATCATAAAAAGTTAAAACGTTACTTTCTCCATCGATAGGTATGTCAATAGTGGGCCTCGTTTCTGAAATCGGGAGTTCAACACGTCGCTTGGAAGCTAACTTTTTACACTTGGCGGACGGAATTTCCTCCGTATCAATAACTCGTTCATGAGTAAATTTGGAGCATAATTCTCGCCCCGGACTAGTTTGAGTTGAAGGCTGAGAGCTCGTCCGACATATGGGACGAGGCATTTCTTCTTCTCTTTCTTCTTCGGAAGCTATACCTGGGATTTCAACCCACATCTTGTTAGGATAAGTGCGTATAACTCGTACTATTAGCTTCCTCGGAGCCGACGAAGGCTTAGGTAAGCTAGAGCGACAAGCATGAGCAATCAACGCTAACTCAAATAGTTCTAAAGAGAGAGGATCTGACAGACCTGTTTCTAGCTCCTCGTTATCACCGCCAGCTTCAGTCTCGTGGCCACCCGCGATCTCAGTTTTCAGGATTTTGTAACTAGAAGTAGAGGTACCTTCTTTTTGTTTCCCCTGGTCTGAAACAC